ACAAACTGTCGGTAAAACTTCTGTACCTAGATACGTATCGTATCGACTATTATGACGAGATACGCACTCCAACTTTAAACGATTAAAACAAAGAAGTACATAAATATATTTTAAAGTGAAATAAACATATATATATATATATACGCAAACTTTAATAAAAACTATTCGCTTGCAAAGATTAAAACTTGAAACGAGTACATAAGTAAGACAAGAAATGTCTTATGGGAGATAAGACAATACATGTATAGTACACAGAGCAGGTAGAAATACACATCACAGCGAATCTTTTACAGCAACCCACTCATGGTAAACAGTCATTTATTGTATAACTATATTTCCTAGTTAATCTGAATGGTTCTGGTCTCTCATGTGATCTAACAGCTTTGAGAATTATCCAACCATTATTATCCAAAGTATGACCACATATATGATTCAAGATACTGACGATATAGAAGAAAAGAACAAATGTAATAAAACACTATCACAAACGTTTCTTAATATGTATACTCGCCGTCTTTGGAGATTAATATGCTACACAATTCTAATAAGTAACTCTCTTTAATTTCTAATTTAGTGTTATTTTAGTTGCTCCAACTTCATGATTACGTTAACGATACCAAAATTTTAGTATTTTCAAATTAAAAACGTATGACTTTTGAAAATTCTTAATGAATGTTTTAAGGTAAGATACTGAAAACAGTCATCATTTTTAAATCTAAAATTAAGGTCTACGGTGTTTTGTAGTACCTTCTTATGTATTTTAACATGTTTTCAGTAATAAGGCGAGAGCAACTGAAAGTGATTTAATCAAATTACCTAGTGCTTAAATAAGCCTAGCAATTCGTATGTCATTTATTGAACAGGAAATAGAATATGCAGGATTGTAAGTATAACTTTGTTAGACATAAAATCCTTTACTTGGAATATCTCTAAACTTACGCAACTTCTATATAACGTAATACGAGCTTTTTGTCCCTTATCGTAAAAGAACGTCAATTAAATTAATTAAATCTTGAGCATTTTATCGATGGCTGTTTATCTCTTCCCTTCAGTATTCTGTCCTATGCACAGTTTATTTTTCAGTATCTTAGATCAAATTAGACCGAAGAATTACACTTGACACCAATCAATGCATATTCTGTAAAATATGAAAGTAAATTTTCTCTAACTTTTGTTCAACTTCTACCTAGGAAACTCACCGTGTGTGAAGTATTCGTGTTCTTAGCCCCACCCCCCCAGTGGCACAGCGGTATGTCTGCGGACTTACAACGCTAGAAACCGGGTTTCGATACCCGTGGCGGGCAGGGCACAGATGGCCCATTGTGTAGCTTTGTGCTTAACTTCAAACAAACAAACCTCGTGTTCTTAAACTAACCTTCAAGCATTTATTTGTTTGTTTGTATTCTAGTGTTGAAAGTCCGCAGACATACCGCTGTGCCACTGGGGGCACCTTCAAGTATCTCGGTGGTAAGCCTGCAGATTTATAACGCTAAAAATCGGGTGACTATAGAATATTGTGTAGCTTTGCACTTAACAACGATTAAACCTTCTTTTAAAATAGTTTATAAAATGGGGTAAAAAAGTTTTAAAAACAAATACGTAAATTTCATTTTTGTTTTAATTTATTTATGTTTACGTAATAATTAATTACCTTAAAAACCATTTACATCAATTTATAATCGTTTTAAGATAAATTGTTGTTTTGTTGAATTTCGTACAAAGCTACTCTGGTGCGATCTGCGCTATAGCCGTTCCTAATGGACTAATACTCTAGTCGAATAGTGGGATTTGAATATCACTCTTATAACGCACCCACAGCCCTAAAGTGCGGAGCGTGATTTTAAGAATATGTAACTTGCTTGTCTTCATGAAAACGTACAGAATGTCTAGAAATGGAATTCTATTTGTTGTTTCTCTTTAAGAGTAGAAGACCAAAACGAAATTTTCAAGCATGTCGAGACGAGTCTGGTAGTCGAAAGATAATACTGAGAACACTTGCCATCATGAGTGTCTAATATTGATTTGATTTTATATGCTTTTTAGCGTGGGCGTTACTTTTGTCACCCCCTGTAGATGTTCCATTATCTAAATGAATTCCACCCTTTTTCAAAACGTTGAATAATTGCTTCACTAAAAATGAAGAAAACATTTTTTAGTTCTATGCTGCTCAATGATCTCCATTATCTCTTTCTTTACGATACTTTCCTGCAGGTCCAGTCGTTCACAGGATAAAGGTAGTTAAAATGCCACAGTACACGGCAACTAGTCTCATTCTAATCGAGTATTCCTATCAGATATCTGTATATTTTTTTAGTTATGGACTGATAAATGTAATAGATATTCAAGTTAAAGATGGTTTTTGAAAAAAGAAAACTTTTGAAAGTTTCAGTGAAATAACTTAGTATTAAAATGATTGTTTGTTTTGTCTTAGAGCAAAGCCACTTTGAGCTAACTTCTGTGTCCACCACGGGGAATCGAACCCCGTATTCTAGCGTTGTGAGTCCGTAAACTTACTGCTGTCCCATCGGGGGACAGTATTAAAACGACGAGCGTGAAAATGGCACAACTTATTATTAAAATGATGATAAGAAAGAATCACGCAATTTTATAGATAAAATGTTATTCAATAAAAACGAATACAGTACAAGTTATATATAAAAGGAGTAACTACTTAAAGTTTGGTTTGTTTTGAATTTCGCGCAAAACTACACGAGGGCTATCTGCGCTAGCCGTCCCTAATTTAACAGTGATAGAAGGAAGGCATCCAGTCAACACCACCCACCGCCAACTCTTGTGTTATTCTTTCACCAACGAATAGTGGGAATGACCATCACATTATAACGCCCCATAACTGAAAGGTGATGGAACAGAGATTCGAACCCTCGACCCTCAGATTATGAGTCGAGCGCCTCAACCACCAGGTTCTGCCAGGCCAGGCCCACGATCTACAGACAAAACGGAAAAACTTACGGATGCTTAAAATGGGCTTTTGTTAATTAAATTGAAAAAAATTAGGTGACTTAAAATAAAGAGTGGATCCTGGTAAATATATATGGTAATCTTGATTAACATTTATTAAGTTGCAGGTATATCGGAATCTGCATATAACTGAAAGGCTTAAGTGGAGGAATAAAGAGACGAAACCAGATGTTTAAGATAAAATTAGCATACATATATTACGGTAGTGACTGAATAATTGTAACCTAAAATAAACATTAGATATTTGAAATTAAAGTGCTTAAAGATCGAAAGAAAAGTAAACCTCCAAATGCACAAACTGGTCGCTGGACTAAAGGCGAGAGAATACTACATAAAACGTTTTTACTGGTGTAAATCAGATATGAAGTCTACCAAGAGAAAAAA